GCTTGAGAGGTACTGGGATCTTGGCTCCACACGATTTATTCTGGTCTAGTTACAAGGGGTGGCTCTGATCTGAGTTTCAGTCCGAACTGCCCAGCACAACTGGTTAACGATCATTTATACCATCAATTAATTGACATAGCTGACATTCCTTACCCGTACCTGGCTTTTCCCCCATTCCATGTTTGGTGTAGGTCCCTGTGGTCAGTTTGTGTCTTTCGCCAGGGTTATGTCTCCAAGAATCCGATGGGGAGGGGTGACTCATGTCGCCAATTCGAGTTCCCTAATACGGAGACCGATCCGTGATTCTTGCCTCTGATATATATCCGCCTCAGTAAGTTGATGCTCTGGGGGATATGACTCTAATCAGCACACAAGTCCGTCTTGGGGTCCACACGATTTATTCTGGTCTAGTTACAAGGGGTGGCTCTGAACTCTGAGTTTCAGACTAAACTGCCCAGCCGACTGGTTTACAATCATTTATACCATCCATTAATTGACATAGCTGACAGTCCTTGCCCGTACCCGGCTTTTCCCCCATTCCATGTTTGGTGTAGGTCCCTGTGGTCAGTTTGTATCTTTCGCCAGGGTTATGTCTCCCCCCATCGGATTCTTGACCGATGGGGGAGGGGTGACTCATGTCGCCAATTCGGGTTCCCTAATACGGAGACCGATCCGTGATTCTAGCCTCTGATAAATGTACAAGAGATCCATGGGCCATGTTTTCCTGAGGCCTCTATCTACAGTCCATAATAGATCCATGGGTCATGTTTATCTGAGGTCTCTATCTACAATGTGCAATAGATCCATGGGTCATGTTTATCTGAGGCCTCTATCTACAATGTACAAGAGATCCATGGGTGATGTTTTCCTGAGGCCTGTATCTACAGTCCACACTAGATCCATTGCAAATATTTTCGGTAAGTCTCTCTCTAGAATGTACACTAGATGCATGACACATGCTTCCTCTACAGTGTACAATAGTTCCATGGCATGTATTTTTGTCTGTTCTTTATCTACAAGGTACACTCTATCCATGGCAAGTGTATGATGATAGATCTATGACACATACTTCCCCCTGTTTTCTATCTACAAGGTACACTCTATCCATGGCAAGTGTATGATGATAGATCTATGACACATACTTCCCCCTGTTTTCTATCTACAATGTACACTAGATCCATGGCAAGTGTATGATGACAGATGTACACTAGATCCGGGACACGTGCTTTTGTTAGTTCTCTATCTACAGTGTACAATGGACCCATGACACATGTTCACCAGTGCTATTTATTATCATTGTAGATCCAAGGTTTATGTCTGTCCAAAAGAACAAAGTAATGTGACGCCTTCGAGAAACAATATCTTTACCCGTACAGCAAGATGGCAAAGTCTCTGTGTAGCCTCCAGACTGATTTTGTTCATATCAAGAACTTGCCCTCGTTATCGTGATTGACGTTATCATTTAAAACCACTGGCTAGGGGCAAGACAAACGCTGTTGAAGTTATCTGGTTCGGCTGTAACGATGCATCGACGGATCTCCGATAGAAAATAAAAAAATCGATGCATCGATCGTATGTGTGACTATCGATAGTTTAGTAATTGACTTCCATTGATAAATTGCGTGGCGCAAAATACATGAAGTACCAGATTCGTTCACTTTGATTTAGAGTTCTTTGTCCTCCTGGGTTTAAAGTTTCTTGTCAGTTATTAAAAGAGACTGAAACTACTTCAGCTTGTTTTTATTTCATACAAACTATACATTCATTTGGGAAATAACTTCAATGAGACAATTCAAGGAGTAAAAAAGCTATTGTAATAGTTGGTCGCAATAGACTATCGCTGTCGCAATTCACTTGAGTCAAGCAAACTGCTTGAAGCAGGTGCCCAATTTTTCTGATGGTTCACTGAACTATACACTAGGGATAAGACAGACCGCTTGAAGCAGGTGCCCAAGTTATCTGGTGGTACACCGAACTATACACTAGGGATAAGACAGACCGCTTGAAGCAGGTGCCCAAGTTATCTGGTGGTACACCGAACTATACACTAGGGATACGACAGACCGCTTGAAGCAGGTGCCCAAGTTATCTGGTGGTACACCGAACTATACACTAAAGACAAAACAAACTGCTTGAAGCAGGTGCCCAAGTTATCTGGTGGTACACCGAACTATACACTAGGGATAAGACAGACCGCTAGAAGCAGGTGCCCAAGTCATCTGGTGGTACATCGAACTATACACTAGGGATAAGACAGACCGCTTGAAGCAGGTGCCCAAGTTATCTGGTGGTACACCGAACTATACACTAAAGAGAAAACAAACTGCTTGAAGCAGGTGCCCAAGTTATCTGGTGGTACACCGAACTATACACTAGGGATAAGACAGACCGCTTGAAGCAGGTGCCCAAGTTATCTGGTGGTACACCGAACTATACACTAAAGACAAAACAAACTGCTTGAAGCAGGTGCCCAAGTTATCTGGTGGTACACCGAACTATACACTAGGGATAAGACAGACCGCTTGAAGCAGGTGCCCAAGTTATCTGGTGGTACATCGAACTATACACTAGGGATAAGACAGACCGCTTGAAGCAGGTGCCCAAGTTATCTGGATGGTACACCGAACTATACACTAGGGATAAGACAGACCGCTTGAAGCAGGTGCCCAAGTTATCTGGTGGTACACCGAACTATACACTAAAGACAAAACAAACTGCTTGAAGCAGGTGCCCAAGTTATCTGGTGGTACACCGAACTATACACTAGGGATAAGACAGACCGCTTGAAGCAGGTGCCCAAGTTATCTGGTGGTACACCGAACTATACACTAAAGAGAAAACAAACTGCTTGAAGCAGGTGCCCAAGTTATCTGGTGGTACACCGAACTATACACTGAAGAGAAAACAAACTGCTTGAAGCAGGTGCCCAAGTTATCTGGTGGTACACCGAACTATACACTAGGGATAAGACAGACCGCTTGAAGCAGGTGCCCAAGTTATCTGGTGGTACACCGAACTATACACTAAAGACAAAACAAACTGCTTGAAGCAGGTGCCCAAGTTATCTGGTGGTACATCGAACTATACACTAGGGATAAGACAGACCGCTTGAAGCAGGTGCCCAAGTTATCTGGTGGTACACCGAACTATACACTAAAGACAAAACAAACTGCTTGAAGCAGGTGCCCAAGTTATCTGGTGGTACACCGAACTATACACTAGGGATAAGACAGACCGCTTGAAGCAGGTGCCCAAGTTATCTGGTGGTACACCGAACTATACACTAGGGATAAGACAGACCGCTTGAAGCAGGTGCCCAAGTTATCTGGTGGTACACCGAACTATACACTAGGGATAAGACAAGACCGCTTGAAGCAGGTGCCCAAGTTATCTGGTGGTACATCGAACTATACACTAGGGATAAGACAGACCGCTTGGAGCAGGTGCCCAAGCATTATCTGGTGGTACACCGAACTATACACTAGGGATAAGACAGGCCGCTTGAAGCAGGTGCTCAAGTTATCTGGTGGTACACCGAACTATACACTAAAGACAAAACAAACTGCTTGAAGCAGGTGCCCAAGTTATCTGGTGGTACATCGAACTATACACTAGGGATAAGACAGACCGCTTGAAGCAGGTGCCCAAGTCATCTGGTGTTATACCGAACTAAACACTCAAGACAAAACAAACTACATGAAGCAGGTGTCCAAGTTATCTGGTGGTAGACCGAAGTATACACTAGGGATAAGACAGACCGCTTGAAGCAGGTGCCCAAGTTATCTGGTGGTACACCGAACTATACACTAAAGACAAAAACAAACTGCTTTAGGGATAAGCAGATATTCCAGCAGGTGCCCAAGTCATCTGGTGGTACACCAGAACTCAAGACAAAACACTGTATGAAGCAGGGGATTCGACCGAACTTCTTGAAGCGTGAGGAGCCCAACGCTTTATCTGGTAGGTTACCCCACCGCCCCAAACACTAAAGACAAAACAAACTGCTTGAAGCAGGTGCCCAAGTTATCTGGTGGTACACCGAACTATACACTAGGGTCAATGAATGTGTATATCGTATTCTGTTGTGTGCGTCGACCATATGCGTGCATAAAGTATGGTGAGATATGCATACTAGCATAGCATGAATAAAGTGTTGTGAGGTATACGTAGAGGGCAGTGTGTATAGTGTAATGTGAAGTATACGTAGAGGGTAGTGTGTATAGTGTAATGTGAAGTATACGTAGAGGGCAGTGTGTATAGTGTAATGTGAGGTATACGTAGAGGGCAGTGTGTATAGTGTAATGTGAAGTATACGTAGAGGGCAGTGTGTATAGTGTAATGTGAAGTATACGTAGAGGGCAGTGTGTATAGTGTAATGTGAAGTATACGTAGAGGGCAGTGTGTATAGTGTAATGTGAAGTATACGCAGAGTGCAGTGTGTATAGTGTAATGTGAAGTATACGTAGTGAGTGAGCAAGCTAGTTTAGTATTACGCCACTCTTAGCAACATCCCAGCAATATCACGGAGGAGGACATTGGCTTGACAAATTAGAACGGTTACATCTATCATGACGAAGAACATGCTATACAAATGCCCCGTATTGTGAGTGAATATGAATGAGTTTGCCCATTTCAGGTGTCCCCCGCCGTAATATTGCTGGAATATTGCTAAAAGCGGCGTAACTAAACTCAGTCAGTCAGTCAGTGAGTGAGTTTGGATTCACGTCACTATTTTCAGTATTTCAGTTATGTCACGGCCTGTCATAACTAGAAAAGCTAGTAGTTCGAAATTGTTGGTAATATTGTACCGACATGATGACAGATGTATGCCAGTTTTCAACTCTAATTCAGGAAAACATGTAACTTTTATTCAAAAATACATGTGCTGGTAGGGCTGTACACATTTTTGGTACATGCGATTTTCTCAGTTTGTTATCTTTCCTGTGGTATCAAGAAGAATATATAATGCGATGAGTGTTTTAAGTTCAAATGGCGGAAGATTATGACATATTTAGATTTATTCTGTTACAGTATACAGTCAGACGTAGCAGGTCATCCAGTTGTACTCGGAGTCGCGGACTTGTGTGTAGCTGCCCCTCTGTACCGTGACGGACATTCCAGACTTTGTGACGTTCGTTACAGTGACGTTAACGTTGTAGTTTGAACTGCTACTGTGAATGATGTCCATGTGAGTGAGGCTGTACATGATGCTGGGGACGTCGTAGAAGGGGTGGGAATAACGTAATGCAGACGTTATGGACAACCCGCTGCGAACGTCACCAAACCCGGAATCACCTGGGTTAGAAATCAACGCCTACGTCAGTACAATAAGACAGACATAACCGTCAGTCAGTTAATAGTGACGGGGATTCAACGAAGGGATACACCATGTTAATGTATATGGATAATGCATGCTCTATTAACAAGTTCTGTGAAGCTAGGAAATCAGCATGGGTCATGTATCAAGAAAATAGTCATGAGTTATCTAAGAAATATGAATGTATGTTCCATACATAAAATGCCTCAATAGCGGTTCTTAATTACATCTATTATAATAAACTTCACTCTCTTTAATTATCATGATGATTTGTCTGAAAACAGTCTGGCAACCCATCGTTCTGTGCGTCAATACTTACATCCCATTAGCTCTATTTCCTCTGCTTTCTGTGACAGCCCTGCGAGGACAGAAAGAGAGGATATAGATATAGTACACATTTAGGCAGTTGGGAAAAACACACATATTTTGTCAAAACAGTCAAAATACTGGACATGACGATGCGTTCGAAAACGACCATCATTAACGAGAGGTGTTCCAAACATCCTTTGGAATATGTTAAGCATGTTTTGAACAGGTACTAAGAATATGAATTGCCGGAAATAATGAGAGGTTACATGTCCTGCATCCAGTGAAGCTGGCTGGAGAGAAAGGTGAGGGAAGAGCGAGGCTGGTCTGCTCTGTTGTCTGACATGATTCTACTTGTGAGGGTATCAGTTCACTACATTTTGCTTTCGAGTAATCAACTCCAAAGTATTTGTTTGACCTGACTATGAGCATTCAGCTCTGAACTCCAGATTTCCTTAACTATACTTTTGTATTCTGACCTAAGTGGTCGTATATATGGGCAATCTGGATTTTGTTTGTAACCTGTATCCATAAGTATCTAAGGTCAGTAACTCCTCCACCAAGTAATTTGTCTGTTCCTCCTACTTCTGTCTTGTCACGTTTAAGATGAAGAATGTCGCATTTGTCCAATCTGATTCTTTTTTCAGTTTACAGTCTCCACTGGTAACAATTGATCCTTGCCAGCCCAACATCCCGTTCTAACACTTCTCTTCTCCATGTAAATATCAGCGGAGGAACAGTGAGATGGACATTGGTTTCCTGTATATCGGACAGTGTGGTGTAGCCGCATCCAAAACGATGTCCTCAGTTCATCTAATTTACTTGCACTATATTGTTATGTGTGGGACTCCCAAGGTGAAAATAGAAAGTTAACACGGAATCAGGTTGTAAAAGAAATATGTGTGACTCCCAAAATAAATACCCCCTCCCCAAAAATAATAATAAAAAACAACCCCCAAAACACGACCCCCAAAAACAAAAAACCCCAAAAAAACCCAAAACCAACAACCCCCAAAAAAAAATAAACCCCAAAAGAAAAAAAAACAAACAAACAAAAACAAACAAAACCGCCCAAATAAACGTGTTGCAATAAACACTTGTATTCTAAGTTTAACTATGTTCACAGGCCAATATATATCAATACAAAGGTGTCCCAATGACAGTACAATATAATGTGACAGTGCAAATGTAACTTTAAGACATAATAATACAAGAGCAGTGATTATAACAATTACGGCAATGACATTCACGATTCACGTTTCAGCAACAGCACTCAAACTTGCAAGAAAGGGCTAGCAGAGAACCCAGAGTGTACAACGCTCGTCTTTTGGTGACTTTAGGTGAAATGTGAGATGAGAGTCAATAAATCGCTCCCCTTATAAACCCAAGAAAAGGCCTTGAAAATTCCATATTGTGCTCAGAGTCAGTGGATATGCCCGTAAGTTTAGAGAAACTCTAAATGTAGAACATCACTGCCCCTCACAGACTTTACAGGTACAACGTATCAAAGGATAAACACTGTTGCCTAACATATAATACTGCCTCAGACCAGTACCCACCACCATCACACACAAATACTTTGCGGGTAAGCTATTGTGTGCAACCGATGGCCATGTGCCCTCTCTTTGGAAAAAGCCTCAGTTTGCATTAAGATTAAATAATAAAATTAGTCACTGCATTTAATAAGCGTTACAGTGATCTTGTCATACCTTGGAAGGTCTTCAGTAGAGCGTTCCTCTCTGACATCTGATTGCTGGTGGTGTTGAACATGGCGTCCAGGGATGTCGTCAGATTGTGTATGACGTCATGAGTTACAGAAAGGTCTTGGTCACAATCATCTGCTAGAGCTGTCAAATTCACCCTTGATTCTGTTGTAGAATTTGTGTACCCCTGCACCAACTGCATCCGTTGTGTGGTTGAATTGATGACACCAGTGATGTTCTGAATGCGGACACCATCAATGGTACAAACATAAACCGTTCATATTGTGAGTTAAATATCTACATATATTGTACTATTGTACTATATTGTACTAGGATGCGTTTGATATTTCACATTCCATACATAGTACGAGTGTTTCCCGGGTAGTGCGAATGCATATAATAGGTATAAAAACCCGGTACATTCCAAACACGATGAAAAATAATTTTACCCAATTCGCATCTGATGTAGTTCATTTATGTTAAGGTATATTCTTGACATGATATGAGAATCCATAAAATTCAAACAAATTGTAAATATAATGACTAATTGTCATGTGGCCTATTTGAAACGACTATTCTCTGCTGTATGATTACCTGTAGCAAGGACGTATCACATTTAGTAAACCCAAGACACTTTCAGCTATTTTCTGGTCCCCATGATTTGATTCCCCTTGAAATCATTCCACGTTCGTGATGAGCTCCAGGGGGAACGAGAGTTTGTACTGGTGGAAATTAGAAGACATGTTTTCGCAAACCATACAATGTCAAATATACTACCCATCAATAGTTTAGACTCACTTAAAGCACTCACTATATGTTATGTATATATATATATGGTTACGTTCACGCCGAAGACCCGGGTTCGAATCCCCACATGGGCACAATGTGTGAAGCCCATTTCTGGTGTCCCCCGCCGTGATGTTGCTGGAATAATGCTAAAAGCGGCGTAAAACCAAACTCAGTCAGTCAGTATGGTTACGTCGAAGATGAATTTCTCCACTAACTAGGGGGAACCAACTAAACGCCTTATGCAGATAAATTGTACGAGGATCATGCATCAAATTTCTGTAAAGCATGAGCAAATATCATGCATGTGAACAGCTGCGTTTTGGTGTAAAGTTTTGTTACGAGTTCGTCAATTTTCACTGAGTTTCATCATTTATTGAACTCATGACAATAATCTTTTCAACGTTACAAAAGTGTGTTACAATATATCGATTCATGTGTTAACAGTACCTTTAAAAAGTATGCAAAATTTATTTTAGAACAGTTGACTTAAGTAAGTGGATACATTTACACTATTGAGTCTGAACTTTTGATGGGGAGTATATATCAATTGAACTCCAGCCATAGCATGTTAGCCAGTAAAACATACTCATGTTGTGAGAACACAATGAATGAGAAACAAAACCCAGCCAACCTTCACTCGTACATCCAGGTGGCGAACCCTCTGACCAATCAACATGATATTTTCTCGAGGAGTCACGACTGATGAATTGACCTCCAGGATGGCAGCTTCGAGCTGAACAACTCTTGATGATAGGGAGGTTCCAGTTTGCTTCACCACTTCCAGGCGTTGACGAAGGGCAGGCAACTCTTTAAGAAACAGCATGAATCCGTCAAAGCTCAGCTGAAACGACGGGTCCAAAGTGGACGGGAGGGACTGTGACGTCATCACCCCCAAGGACACAAACACGAGGAAGGGGAGACTCATCTGTACAACGCCGTTATAACTGGATGGTTGAATGGTGTATCGCAAAGACACGAAACTTCAGATTATAGGTGTGTCAGTCGTGTGGGAAATCTCCATCTGTGCACATAGTGACATGGGTTTTGGAATGTTGCCAGCGATAGCAGCATAATGAGGGTATAGCATGTTCGCATGCAGAACATGCGAATGCCAGAAGCAATACTGCAGCTGCATCTACATGTCTTTATCTTTTCTTAATTCCTGTATGGGACCAACGGTTCATATCTGTCCCCAATTTGTGTTGGGAGTCCACTGTCTTATTGTGTATTTGGGGCAAACCCTGAAGATATTTCATTTCAGTTTTCTGGAACAGGACATTGACTGAACTTGGGGTTATCTGTAGGTAACATATGATTAGACAAAGGTTAGTAGTTGGCCGCCAAAATAGCTAACGGTAGAGTTCGGCATTATGGGTGGTCTTATGTATATCAATATAGTACTTCTGTGCTTAAATATCTGGACAACGAATTCCACATCATTTTGGACAACGAGTTCCGCAAAAAGGACCTTACACACTTCAGAAATTCCAAGCCCTGAGACGACTGCAATGACAACCATGGATGCACTTCTCCAGAGTGGTATGGGCGGGTTCCTACAGCTGATTCAGGAGTTCGGGTCTCTCCGGGCCCAGGTCGAGCAGCAGGAAGAAGTTAACAAACTCCTCCAGGACAAGGTTGCCAGGATGGAGGCCTTGCTGAAGCTGGTCAACAATACGGCAGTGCAGGAAACCGACTACCTTAAACAGGGATCCATGGTAAGTGGGATACCGGCACATACACATAGATGTAAGTAGTATATGTATGTATGTATGTATGTATGTATGTATGTATGTATGTATGTATGTATGTATGTATGTATGTATGTATGTATGTATGTATGTATGTATGTATGTATGTATGTATGTATGTATGTATGTGTGTATGTGTGTGTGTGTGTATGTATGTATGTGTGTATGTGTGTATGTATGTATGTATGTATGTATGTATGTGTGTATATGTGTGTGTGTGTGTGTGCGTGCGTGCGTGGAAGCCGTTCAGCTCGTGGTGACGTGACATTGCATATATCGCAAGATTCATGCTCATTTGTTACAGCAACCAATTGTTCATCCCAGTATTACATATGCTAAGAGTCTGTGCCAATATGGGAAATGGACGTGACGAGCGAATGCTACAGCCACTAGGCTACCCCACTGCCCTTAAACAGTAGTGAGCGTCCGCCCGGAGAGCGGAAGGTCGCGCGTTCGATCCCCGAGCGCGTCATACCAAAAGATGTTAAAATATGGTACTTGTTGGTCCCTGCCTGGCGCTCGGCATTAATGGGTACATCAAGGACTGGTCGGCTCGGAGTCAGTATAATGTGTCTGAGTGGGGTATTCCTGCTTCACTGCGGCATGGTATCTCAGTGGGCTAGCACTATAAAACCAGCTTCAGTCTGGGCTAGTTCAAGCAGCCACACATACACATACACACGCATGCATCGTCGTCATATGAGTATGAGCGAAATATTCTCAAGCACGACGTTAAACCCAATTTCACTTCACCTCACCTTAAACATTAGTACTGACGGAACATCTGCATTTAGGTGCAACAGGAGATCTCAACGCTGCTGCAAACTACAACGTTCATCGAGGCAGGGATGACGAACGCCGTGGCGACTGCAACGATGTTGGAGATGGAAATGATGAAAGTTGAGAAGTCTCTGGATGACGTCACCGACTGCCATGACACATTCAAAGCGAGGCTGGACAACATGACGTCATCGCTGCTGGACACCACTAATGAAACAAACCGTCTTTCATTCAACTCTGAGATGCTGAATCAGACAATGGAAGAACTCAACAAAGACATGATGGAGCTGGCCAGCAAAGGAGATGGTACATTGAACTGTTTCTCCACTAGTCGTACTCGAAAGAAATGACTGTTTTGGCATGAGTGACGTGCGTATTATGCCGCTTTAAACAGTATTCCTGTTATATCACGACGTATGAATTTATGGAGGAAAGTCTGAAATGACGAAGGCCTACGACGTATGACACTTAATCTGCAAGCGCTTATCTTGTGCTTATGAACCTGGAAACATAATCCGAGGTTCGAAGCCACTGCCATAGGCTGCTAGTGTGCATTATACCATAATACGATACAATAATAACGTCAAGACCTTATCATGTTTCAAAACGGCTTTGGTTATTCGAGTTTCTTCCTTTGCTATATTGAACTGAACTTGCAAGGTCCCCTCATGATGTCCACATAATGTTTACCCACCAAACTGTCTGATCAGCATGCGTTTCTTCAAATATCAGTGTATCTAACCATCCTGACGTTGTTCATGTATTAGGTTAACATTTCTACGATTAATTTTCGATATATTTTAGGTGAAATGCGACATCACAATAGTAAACATATTTTATCACGTAGAATATCATAGTTTTCCCCAACCCTAATGGTTCATCGCAGTTGCTGCTGCGGGTATAGACCTATCTGATTCCAATTCTTTCAATGGAATCTGTTATGGGTCAATTCTGTCCAATGCCCTCAGTTGCATTGTAAAGTGGCTTTCCTATGTTTTGAACATTTCATTTTGTTTGTATGAAACGATTTTTCTTGCGCCAGTTTCTGTTATCTTTTGTTGCCTTACAATTTGCTTTGAAGTTATTTTCCAAATTGAATTTTGATTCAAGCATAGTTTTAAGCACAGGTCCAGGATATATCTTTTCTTGTTTAAGCTTGTCCAGTTTGGAACCCTTTTTGTTTCTTAGCAATGTGTTGTTGTATTGCAACTTGCACAGAGTTACCCCGTCGATGGTGCAGCAGCCTACTCCCAGTAGTTGATGTCATACAAACAAACATGAGGATGAGAGAAGTAATGTCATTATTTCATTTCCTGTCAAGTCGATTCAGTGGAAATGATATGTAAATTGTTCAGCTGGCCTTCGTTTCTCCCCCCTTCTGTTAATCACAGACTTGGTTACCAAATAACCTGGATAAAATAAACAATGGTTGATCAAAGGGATTTTGAAGACGCGTGCCCACATTAGGAGAAAAAGTCAACGCAAGCATCAAGGATTTATTTTTGTGAAGCCATATGTAGTTCATCAGCATCAACGGCATCAGGCAGTGCAGGCTGGAAGGATGCCAATGCTCATTCGTGCCTGTTGTTGGTGGATCTGAGGGTTGATGCAAAGGAACCTGACAGGTACAAGTTAGCTCACATGTTCAGGCCAATGGTAGCTGCTGGGGAGGGGAGCGCGAATATTCTGATTTGTCAGATTTGCATACGTTGGCATCTCTTCGTCCCAATGCTGCTGCATTTAGCTACTATCGATTTATCTAGTTTCTGGCCATTTCATTTGCCTTCGCACAAGACCAACTGTGGAGTTCAGCTAGTTTCTTGAAGGTGTTCTTGGATGAGTTCTATGCCCCCCGTGGGGGTCCCATCTCCAGTTTGCTTGGTTTGTATACCAGAGGGATGCGGAGTTGAGAGATGGTTTACTATTTACTGGTCATCCAGTTTCTAACCTGCTTCGGTGCGGTAGCACTACCTGGGAGATGACCATTCGGTTCAGGGGAATAATTCTTCACTTTCTAGGCTCACCGTAGAGGCGTCCATCGCCAGGCTGTCATGCTTATCGTCATCGTTACTTACACAGATTAATGTTCAGAAAGCATAAGCATATTTGAAACAGTAAATCTGCTTACTTATAGTTTCCAAATGCCCCCCAACGTTGAGTTCTTGTCTAAATGAAATGTCTATAACTAGAATGCAGAGGGCTATGCGTTTCCCGTTAAAAACTTAAGTATTAAAGTCCACGTGGACACAAATCGCCCTCGTCAATATAACAGTGCAATGTTAAAGCAGAATTGTTTCTTGTATTTCGTTGAATTTCAGACCTGAAAGTGTCAACGAGCAGACTCGACAGCGTGGCCTGTGAGTAGCATGCCATTAAACGTACGCGTATTGAACTCATTGTACATTGGAAAATACTCTTGTGGTGAATGTAAAATAAATACTATAAATACTATTCATATACAACCTTCAACTGTGGCAGAATGCCTAGAAAACAGCAAGAAATTATTTTAAAAGCTGTTACATTCGGTGTCATGGTAGACTACGGAATATCTGATCTAGGTTCTTCTGGCTAATCATTTACGTTGTTGTTTCAGGCCAATCCGGAAGGCTTTTCTTCAGAGGTAGCAGCAGCTATCTGTACTCAAGTACCAGATATGAGCAGTGGCCCGAGAGTCAAAGGGTTCAGTTCACCAAGCAGTTCATGAGACCACCGACTGTTTCCTACGGCGTTGTTGGTATGGAAGCGGACAAAGACTTTGACGTCAAATTCAATCTGACCATCAATGACGTCAGGAGTTCTGGGTTCGAACTACTGTGTAATGCAAATGGGAAACGCGAGCTTGTAAAGTTAGATGTTCAGTGGATTGCATGTCTCGTGTAGTCAGTTCCATGATCTTACATTGTCTGAGAAGAAGTTCTCCAAAGTGTGTTAAGATATTCTTAATGTACTCCTTTGGCTGATGCCTGCTGGAAATAAAGTGGATAAATCATAATAGAATTTGTGTGAACGCCCAGCAAAATGTTTTCAAACATTTATATCTCTAAGTTCAATCTTGAGAACTCTCAGTTGAAAGGAATACCATCATATATCTATAAAGGACATTCGCTAACATGCGTAACGATAATTATGATAAAAAAATTCACGAAGGAGGGATTTAAATGAAGATATGTTAACCTTTGTCTGTGCTAAAGTTAATCGTTTCTGCACGGAGAATATTTGTTGCACTTTTACCCTAATTGTCCAGACATATTAAACTTGAGCCGGTTACTTTAACCTTTCACGTATCAATCCTGAGTATGGTCCCCTCCACTGATCTCTCAATGAGGCTGTCAAATCAATTACCAAGCCCGATCAAACAGTGCTGCAGTCATCACGATGTCATCCGATGTACTTATCAGTGGCAGAGATGTATATTTCACGTGTCTATTTCTGCCACAAACGGACCAAATTCATGGCTTAGGGGTCAGTCGGCGGTACTTCAAAGACGCGCTCTGATCTTTCTCAGCTTCACCACACGAAGGAGCGTGCGTTAAGCTACATTTTCAAATCATTTCTCAATCAGAAAGATTAAATGCGTTCATCGGTGGCGCTTGAAATCAAAGGTGAATGAAAAAAGGAATAAAAATTAATAAACGAGAATTTTATGGCATGGCTGACAAGGGGAGGTGAAGAACCTTATATTCCCTACAAGATTCATATGAAGCAGCTTTGAACATTTAAACTCTGCCATCGATTTGGTAGTTCAGAAGTGTGTACACGGGCAGAATTTCTTTGGAGATCGCAGTTAACGATTTGCTGTGTTCATCAATCGGTTTAGTGTCATTTGTTTCGAAAAAAAGCCACCACAGGGAATCAGAATCTCACTGATTATTGTTGATTTCATTAAAGTGACAAAAACCTTTCCACGTCCATGAATGAGTGAGTGAGTGAGTTTAGTTTTACGCCGCACTCAGCAATATTCCAGCTATATGGGGGCGGTCTGTAAATAATCGAATATGGACCAGACAATCCAGTGATCAACAGCATGAGCATCGATCTATGCAATTGGGAACCGATGACATGTGCCAACCAAGTCAGCGAGCCTGACCCCCCCGATCCCGTTTCCACATCCATGAGAAATCTCCATTGTACAGTTCTCATTAGTACGCGATTGTTTGTTTAACGCAACAATTCAGCAATATTACAGCTGTATGACAGCGGTTTGTACAGAATCGAATCTGGACCAGACAATCTAGTGATTGACATTATGAGATACGGTGAGAGAGCATGTGTTTATGAATCAGCATCAAATAGTGATGATACCAGGTGTTCGCGTAGAGGTGAGCGTATCCTGCTCCACCGGTGACACACGTCATGAACTTAGGCAAAGGTTAGTCCATAGTTCACCCGCAGAAAATTGGGAACGTGTGGCACAAGTCGAAAAGGGGAATAGCGTCGGATATAGTTTTTGTCACTGATGTATACAATTTTGAAAAATGTTTACCATATAACTTTTTGAAAGCTATACTGAGGCCTTGAATGTTGTTACCTTGATCAAACAACTTCTAAGTCATATGAGGCTCTTTGAAACCTTGACAAAAAGGAGCATGCCCGATTGTACCTCAAAGTACTGAAATGTAAACAAAGGCTGGAGCTGCTGGAATTTTGCTCGACATGAAGGGAAAGTTGACTATTGGAAAGTAAACATTATACCTTTTGTTACATAACCTCGTGGAGAGTATTTTTGTTGACACTCTGAATATTTACCTATAGATTTAATATGAAACATTTGAGGCGGTCTGAATTGTCTTCTTAATTTCAAGTTAATTCAATAAAATGCCAGATTGAAAATATTAGGGTGACAAAAGGAATCGTTTTTCGCGTACGAGAAGCGGCAGTAAAATCTACACATTCTCTCCTGTGTAAGCGCAACCAGGAGCCAGGTGTAAGTTCCAGGAAAACATGTGAACATTAATATTTAAATGAGTCTGGTTGAAGTATTACATCTTAATGTGAGGTCATTGATGATGCAGGCTTTCCAGGTAAGACCCCTCGATTCCTTGAACGATTGGTTCTCTTACCTCCGATATGATTTGCCGCACTCAGCAATTTTCCAGCCATATGGCGGCTGTCTGTAAATGATCGACTTTGGACCAGACAATTCAGTGACCAACAAAATGAGCATCGGTCTATGCAGTTGGGATTCGATGACATGTTAGCGAGCCTTGATCACCCGATCCCGTTAGTAGTCTTTTACAAAAAGCATGCAATCTGAGGGCATGGAGATATTACCACATGACGGTTAAAGTGAGCAGATCCCGAGGGAATGTACCATCTGGATGTCCCTGTGTAATCAATACAAACAATTAATTTCTGATGATGACCCATTTTGAAATTGGTGTCAATATTCTGTTGCTTTGATTGAACGTGATTTTTTAAAATAGATTTTAATAAATATCTTTTACTAAAATCTTCCTGTGGCTTATGTACATGTTCTTGAGATAAAATAATTTCTATTCATAATGATATGATTTGTGAAGCCGGAGACTATCGTTCGTGCGCCCGTATATATGCAGTCACACATGTAGGCGTGTGCGTGTGCGTGTGCGTGTGTGGTGAGTGCAGGGGAGGTCGAGAGGCAGTGTGCGTGTTTCAGGAAAAGTAGTAAATGTCATGATTGTCGGGTCAATCATTTGATTGATCCAGACTCCATTGTGTACACAGTCAGCCGCCAGAGATACCCCCCCCCCCCAAAAAAAAAATAAATAAATAAATAAAAAATAAAAATAAATAAATAAAAATAAAAATAAAAATATAAAATAAAAAAATTGCTTTGTTCTTGTGGCGTGATTCATCTTATAACTGACAAAACTTGAATCCAGATAAACGTTTGCGTACGGAGAACAAAGTAAATGTTTGTATGAATCAAAGGTTATCGGTAATCAAACATGTTCAAAAGTTGCTTTTGTTAGAAGCGAACTCTATTTCATTATAAGATGAGAAAAGAGTGACACACTGGTAATGGAATCTGATGTGTGAATGTAGACATGTACTTGTTTTGTTTACGTTAGGCAGTTGAAACGATCAATACCACTTACAATTATTAATGCTTTTTGTTTCGAATTGTGTTCCATGCACAAGAAACATGTCAATCAACAAACACGCACGTTTCACGACCAGTCAACAGCAGTACATCTCTATTGTGAAACTGACTTAAGGGCTGCATCTGACATGCAATTAACACCACGCCTCCTCCACACACATCGATTAATGGAGAACTGCTCGGCGATACACGCGAATATACAGCGCGTGTCGAAGGCAGATAAATGGAGATAAATATTTGCTAGCTTAAGATCGAATTTCACCCAGTTCCTGTCTCTCTGTGCCCGAATTTCCAAGAGTATGAAAGATCCATTGTCCGTTGACGCAATAGATTATATGTCAAATGCAGATTCACAGCAAATATTTTCCTGTCGTGACGACACATAGGCATGTTGTTTGAACATCGATTAGTCTTGGTGTTTGCAAACCTAATCTTTGAAATTATTTTAAAATTAACTGATTTTGTTATTAAAATGCATATAATTTTCGAGGTCCAGTGTCAGTTCAGCCAGATGACTACCTTATCAGGGCCTCCTTTCACAAAAAGCACTACTAAAGATCGTAAGTCACTAAGGTAACCTTAGTGCAGTGTTAAACAATGGGAGTTAAGGTTAATTTATCTGGTACACGTGTGAACACATCCAGAAATAATTACATATACTGCCTGTAGGTGTTGCACACTACGGTACTGTGAGATAAGTCTTATCCGATTTCGTTAAGAGTGAGTGAGTTTGGATTTACACCGCTTTTAGCAACATTCCAGCAATATCACGGCGGGGACAACAGAAATGGGCTTCACGCATTGTACCCATGTGGGGAATCGAACCCGAGTCTTCTGCGTATGAGCAAACGCTTTAACCACTAGGCTACCCCACCGCGCCGATTTCGTTAAGAGAAAATAGAAAATAGAAAACTTTTTAACCCTGAATGGGAATTTGCTGTATATCATCACAGAGCACACATATGAATGTAGGATAAATAAGATGAATAAAAGAGTGTTTCTCACAGGTAAATGTACTGTAAAATCATTTATTGAACACAGATTAAAAATATGCAGGTAAACAGTTATGATTAATGTAACAACAACAATGTACATATACAGGTAAAGATAAGATTTGTATGCAAACATATCATTTATTGTCCACAAAGCCGATGCTGGACGGGATGAACGATTTCAGGGCTCTATTTGATTTAAATTTTGGAATTTGGAAACGTCTGCCAGATGGTTAAAGGTTATATTCTGTGTTTAAAATGTGTGAGGAGTCATGTAAAATTTTATTTGCCAAAGTTAAAGTTCTTTCCTCATACACGTAAGCCAAAGGGTCGAAATCCACATTTGTGATTTTACTGCTTAGTTTGACGATTTTGTTGAGTTTGTTTCGGTTTTGAAATGATAATGATCCATACCAGCAATGATATTGAGAAGGTTAGAGGACAAAGTGCCCCGTTTGGTCAGGAATATAAGTTAATCACTTCATGTAGATACCCGTGGGTGTAGTGACAGTGAGTGTGTAAGTATGGTTTTACGGCCCATTTTAGCAATATTCAAGCAATATCACGGTGGGGGACACCAGAAATGGGCTTCACACATTGTACCCGGGAATCGAACACGGGTTTTCGGCGTGACGAGCCTTAGCTTTAACCTCTAGGCTATCCCACTGCCCCTTGTAGTGATAAGGTAAAGCGAGGTAATGTAGATACCTGTGGTTGTAGTGATAAGTAGTGCTAGGGTAAATGGAGGTAATGTAGATACCCGTGGGTGTAGTGATAGGGTAAAGCGAGGAAATGTAGGTACCTGTTGGTGTAGTGATAAATAGTGCTAGGGTAAATGGAGGTAATGTAGATACCCGTGGGTGTAGGGATAGGGTAAAGCGAGATAATGTAGACACCTGTGGGTGTAGTGATAGGGTA